GTTTGCAAATCAAAAAAGGCAATGGAAATAGCTCAACACAACGTATGCTTCTAGTGGCATCCCCAAATTCAGTTCTCTCCCAGGAATATCCAGTTATCCCAGTCCTTAGTTTGTCATGGAGGGAAAAACCATGTTTCTTAAGACTGTCAACTAACAGACACACACTAGTGTCTGTTGCCTAACAATAGTCCTGGTTTGAGTACTACTGTTGAAGTTTTCCCTAAATTGTTCAGATCCTTCTCTAAGTGACATTTTGCTTTCCCCATATTTATTTACTTACTTAATTTATATAGCTGCCCCATAGCAGAAGTACACTAGGAAGCTCACCGGGTGCTGTAGTGGTTAGAGTGTTGGACCAGGATCTGGGAGATCAGGGTTCAAATCCCCACTCAGTCAGGAAGCTCACTGGGTGACCTTAGGCCTCTAAACCTACATCACAGGGTTGTTGTAGGGGTTAACTGAGGAGGGGAATGAATCATGGACTTCTTGGCAGGGAGGGGATATGAATGCAATAAATAAGCTTTTCTGCTTTACTCCTTAAGAAAGCTGGAGGGGCCAGCCAGAGGGAGATGTCGGTCACCAGTCTGGCATCCAGAAATCTCCACATGTTCGTAGCTGGACCCACACCAGTAGCAAAACATGCCTAGTGACTGGGGAATTTCGAACTCTGCAGTCCTTGGTTGTGAGATGGTGACTATGGTTATGTGTTGCACATTTTCCATTTCCAAGGGAACTGACAAAAGCCACCAAGATAATTTTTTTAAAAAAGTATTTTATTTTTAGGAGATGCTATGCTGAGATGGTTTGTTTTGGGTTTTCAAACCTATCCATTCATAAGGAAATCAGCCCTAAGTGCTCACTGGAAGAATAGATCCTGAAGCTGAGACTCCAATACTTTGGCCACCTCATGAGAAGAGAAGACTCCCTGGAAAAGACCCTGATGTTGGGAAAGATTGAGGGCACAAGGAGAAGGGGACAGCAGAGGACGAGATGGTTGGACAGTGTTCTCGAAGCTACCAGCATGAGTTTGACCAAACTGCGGGAGTCAGTGGAAGACAGGAGTGCCTGGCGTGCTCTGGTCCATGGGGTCACGAAGAGTCGGACATGACTAAACAACAACAAGAATCTGTGGTTTGGGGTGGATTTCCCCCCAGTTCTTTCTTTTTCCCCATTGAATTCCTCCTCCCTCCCTTTCATCAGCTCATTAGTAGCAATGAACAAATGGCAATTGCAAATACATGATGAGGCAAGCTGTGCAGTTTTACTGTTTTTAGCTCTGTTTACTGTATGCAAATAAAATAAGCGTGCTAAATTAGATCACTCTCTAGCACAGCGATAGAGAACTTCAGACTCCTGGAGGTTGAAGGCCTTCCTCCCTATTGCCCCGCCCCCCTCTGGGACTGCCATCACCATAAAGTGAGGGGATGCAGCCCTCCTGCTGAGAGAGGTTGCTCAGCCCTGCTAGAACATGGGGGGGGGGGATTCCTGCTGTAAACATACAGATCCCTTGTGCAAGTTACCTTATGCAAATCACCCTCACTTGATTTGCCTAGGGTCCCTTCGCCCCACAATAAAACCCACATCACTATTCCTAACGAACAGGATGAATTGCTACGAGCCCTGGGCTCTGTTCCCCTTACAAACAGTTAACAGAAGTGTATAGTAAATTTGCAATGTGCTATTATTAGCCCTGCCATGCTAGATTTATTCTGCTCCACGGGCTGTGCTTGCTATTAAGTGTCATTCTTTCACTCCTGGTGAACCGTGCATGATGGTAACTCCTAGTTCTGCGCACCATTCCTTTTATCGGCGCATGTCATCGCGACATACATAATTTATCTAATTTTCGTCAGGCCAGGTGCTGGGCAGTCAATTTTTTCCTGCAGGGGAGAGAAGAGAGAGAGAGAGAGAGAGAGAGAGAGAGAGAGGAAAGAACCAGGGTTTTTAGCGAAACACCAACTCACGCAGCTAAAGCACCGTTGGCGTCAAAGCCTCGGTGTTGCCGCAGGTGGCTGTGCTATCCTTTGACTTGTCAAACAAGTTCTACACGTTGACTCTAGAGAGCAAAGCATAAATCAACATCTTGATTTATCGGGCTTGCGTATCTGTTGGCCCTGCTTGAGAAACTCCTCCATTCAGGGCCAGTTCCGTCAGGTCCCGGGCGAGGCAGAAGATATGCTTCCTGTGTAAACGGCTTGCTTCTGAGAGCGCCAGGGTTGGAAATGGTGCAAACCAGCAAACCTTAGAGCAGAACGAAACACAGAAGTGCATCACTGCTTTTGACACGGTGCATGTTCCTTGAATTGGGCTGCCATAGTTTGAACATTCTTCAGGAAATCAGGAAATCAGCCCTGAGTGCTCACTGGAAGGACAGATCCTGATCCAATACTTTGGCCACCTCATGAGAAGAGAAGACTCCCTGGAAAAAACCCTGATACTGGGAAAGATGGAGGGCACAAGGAGAAGTGGACGAGATGGTTGGACATGAGTTTGACCAAACTGCAGGAGGCAGTGGAAGACAGGAGTGCCTGGCGTGCTCTGGTCCATGGGGTCACAAAGACTCGGACACGACTAAACAACTAAACAACAACAACTACAAGTTTGAACATGTGAAACTCCCTTATATTGAATCGGTCGCAAGAACGTAAGACAAATCCCAGTGGATCAGATCAGTGGATCATCTAGACCAGCTTTCTGCTTTCTGCTTTCCATCAGATGCCTTTAGGAAGCTCACAAGCAGGACATGAGGGCAGGAGCTCTTTCCTTTTTTTTTTTTTAATGATATTTATTAAGAGTTTTAAAGTTACAGAAAAAACAAAGAAAAAAAAGAAAGAGAAAAAACTAAAGAAAAACAAACCACAATCAAAAAATAAAAACAAAGCACCTAACAGAACACAATCAAAAAACAAAAATAAGCCACAAAAATTTAAAAACAACTCCAATATTCTCATATCCTTGACTGTCATTACCTTCTTTCTTTGACCTCCTCACTCCTCCCTTTTTTTGTATCCTAGTTATTAATAGTCACAGCAAATCCTTTCCATTTTTCATAATATTCTGTCATTATATTACCTTAATCTATTTTAACCTTATCTTACTATAAAAAACCTTAAAACTTAGATCTTATTTATATCAATTTCTCATAACCATAACATATTCTTACATAATTCTTTTAACATTTTTGCTAGAGCCGAATAATTTCGTTCCAACATTTTTCTAACATTCATCAATTTTATAAAACAATCCTAATAAAAAATTTTTTCTTCCAATCTTCATCCAGCGTCTCTTCCTCCTGGTCCCGGGTTTTGTCAGTCCTTTCTATCCCATCAATCTAGTTCATTAACCTGGTAATCTTATGTCCGAGGCCCTTAAATCTCTTCCATGTCCCTTCCGCAGCTCTTCTTCATATTTATACCTGTACTTTGCTTTATCTCCTGCTCCTTTCACTCGTGGAAACTCCAACTTGACAATGTTTTTGACCCTTCTCAACAAATCAGCCCCTTTTCCATAGTCCACACTAGACTCCATGTGGTATTTAAAAACATGTTTCAAGATCCCTCCAGAATTAAGAGCCCCCACAACCCCAAACATCTCACGGCCCATTGCCAGACTTGGAAAGTCAAAACATCCCTGCATAGGGGGGTCTATCCAACCCCCCATTTCCAAACCAAACTCTATCTCTCCAAGCCTGGCTTTTTCCAAGTTCATTTGTCAATTCCAACAACTCATGTTCCTGCTGGGCCACAGCTCCCTCCATCTCTGGTGCCCGAGGTTCAAGAACATCCTCTTTCCTCATCTGATCTGTCAGAGCACACTCCTGATTTAATTCCTGGGTGGGCTCTATATAGTTACCCACTACCTGTCCGAAATTTCCGATCGCAACAGTCATCAAGTCCGTCTTCTCATGTAGCTGTTCCAGTAGGGCAGTTGTTTTGCAGAAGGCATGCATCAGAGCTTCTGAATACATTGTTCTGCAAGGTCAGAAGTCTATTCCCACGATCGTAATCTGCTGCAGCTGCAGAGCTCCCCGATTCAGATTTAGTAACAGTTTCACAGGCTCCCTCTAGGGGAAGAACTTCTATTTGTTCTTTTCTTTTAAAAGCAGATCTAACAACAAAGTTTCCTTTTTCAGATATTTTGTCAATATTTGTTCCTTTAAAATGCGAAGGAGAACAATGGAATCACTATGTTTCTCTTCTTTTAACTATCTGTCAAAAACGTTTGTCTCTGGTCAATGAGCTTCCCAAAGAACGTCAGTCCTGACACCCGCTCCCAGGATCAAGACGGTGGAAAATTACTTTGCTTTACACTCTCTTCTGCAGGTTTAAACAGTCCGGGGGAAAAATCCCCCCTCTTCTCCTGCTTCCGAAGGGGGTTCAACAATTTTAAATGATGAAGGTTAATCCTTTACAAGCGATTTTCTGAACTCTAGTTTGCCATGTCTTTGCTTTAATCTATCTACAAGAAACGGAAGGCTGACTTCCTGTTTAGACCTTCCCGTTTCAGTGCCAAATTGAGATGAATTTCTTAGTCCAATTTTCCTTTCTGCTCGCAGGTCATTATTCAAAGTCCAATTGTCCGAAATTAAAGTACTCACGGGTAATTGTTTTAAAAGCCAAATTGTCCCAGGAAAAAGGCAGCGCTCTCCGGCAACGGCTGTGCGGCGTCGCTCCACGGAAGGAGCAGGTGACTCTCAGCACCGCGCCCCGTCCCCCGCGTCGCGTCGGAGCCCGTTAGTGGGTTCCTTTGCGGGTTGGGGGGGCGCTAAAGGTGCCCGCCGAGTCCCATGGTCACAGGCTTCATCCGCCTGTGATTTTTGAAAGGGTCCCCGCTTCGCCGTAGCGGGAAAGACCCGTTTCCCGTGGAGCTGGTCCCTCCGGATCAGAGGGAGTCCGCCATTACCGATGGCGCCACCCCGGAAGTCCAGGAGCTTTTTCCTTAGTACTCTCCAACGTTTGGTATTTAGCAGGAGGGTGCCTGTGGCTCTTGGTATGGGCTGAGCTTGGGATAGCTCAGTCGGTGGAGCATGAGATTCTTAATCTCAGGGTTGTGGGTTTCCAGCCCCACTCTGGGCAAAAGATTATTGCATTGCAGAGGGTTGGACTAGATGACTCTTGTGGTCCCTTCCAACTCAACAATTCTATCGTTCTGTTTTGGTACGTAGCATTTCTTCAGAGTCTTAGGCAAAGGTCCTTCGCAGCCCCACTGTCCAGGATGCTTTAGAACTTTAGACCTTTTTTACATGGTTTGGGCAGCTTTGAGTGCAAATCGTTGCAGAAGCATGCATCCTTTAAAATTTGTGTCCTATCCATGCTACTGTCCTTTGCAGAGTGTGACTTGCAGAGTGTGACATGCACTACGATGTGTTCTGGCTTATTTTAATGAAACCAAATACTTGCACTGTAAAGTGCAGCACCTGTGTGTGTGTGAGAGAGAGAACATGGTAAAGCAAAATATATGAATCATGCAATGTTAAAAAAGAGATACACAATATTTATTTCATACTTTAAAGAATTCCACCCACCCCTGCAAGAGGAAGCTAGGCTAGAGATAGGAATCCACTTGAAAGCCAGTTATAGTATAGTGCCTACTTTGCATATAAGCTTTTCTTTAATTTAAAGGTTCCCCTTTGGGGCTGTGTGCTTTGAAGAAATTATCATCTTTTTTTTTTTTGCTTTGAGTTCATCTTTCCCCCACTGCTTTGTTTATTCCACACCCAAACTTGACACCCTCTCCTTCTAACATCACAATAAGCTGCTGCTGGGATGAATTTGAATTCTCAAGGGCAGTCTTATGACTACAGGTAGAGATTAGGCAGAAGGGACAGATTATTTCCTAAGCAGCAATAATCAATTTTTCATGCTAACTTCCTTAGTATGGGGAAAAAACAGAGTGGTGGTGAGGAAGCTTGAAAATGTGATCGTTCAGCAGAATTTCTTAGTGTGGTTTTCATAGTTTTCTCAAAGGTATCACTTCTTCTTTTTTTTAAAAAAAAGGTGGTCTGCAAATCACCTGCAGCATTAAATATTTCATTATGTGCAGTATATTATCAGTGCATAAAATGAGGTTCTAGTGCAGTATATCATTACAGTTCGGAAATTGGGAGTATTTTAAATGAAAGTCAGCCAGTTCTCCCATGGGGTCTGGTCTAATGGCAAGCCGCTTGGAAAGAGAGACAGGGAGGGGGCAAAGCAGCAGAGTGGGCCGGTGCGATAGTGGACAAAGGTATTTTATCTTAACCAAATGTTCCATGCAGGTGGTCCTGTTCAGTGTTCCAGACAGCCAGATCTGCCCTGCTCTAGGATATTCCATTCCAGCCGCTTCTGCCTGGTTTCTTCTCCCCTACTCAACCATGATTCCTTGGCCACTGAGCACACTCAGTACTTGCTGCTTGTGCATGGGTAATGCCATTTTTTTGCTGCATAAGTCCCGGTTCACCACTTTAGAAATATTTGGAAATATTTTATCTTGGAAAACGAAGGGCCTTTCTTTCTCAATTGTTGTTGTTGTTGTTGTTGTTAAACATTGTATACCACCCTCCATTCTTCGATCTCAGGGCGGTTCACAACATATGGTGATGTGAACTCAAACTTACACATATGCATGTGTGAATTGGACACTTGGTGATGACTGCATACGCATAAATTTATCCTCTGATCATAATATTGGTCAGTTTCTTTGATGACCCCCTTTATCCTTCTTTACTTATATATTGTCCGGCCTTCCTCTCCAGCAGCCTCTTTCTTGTCCATGGATGCAAATGCAAAATCAGGAATAAGGATGGATGGATAGATAGATAGATAGAGATGGTTGTTATGTTTTTCCATTTCTGCTCCAGCCTCAAGAAAGTTCTCAGTCGTGTGTTACTCATTGCTTTTAAAATCCACAACTGATATAATAAAGAGTGCCAAATAGCAGCAAAATGAAAGAAATAACTCGGCGTCTGTCCTCCTCACGCCAGGTAGTAACGCAGAATGAAGAACCAAATGACAGTGAAGGACAGAATTTAGGAATAATTAATATGTGACTTTCCTGGCAAGGGCTGCACATTGTGCTTCAGAGGAATGGAATGGCTGATAATTAAGAGCTTACTGTTTTCTTCTTCTGCCTCTGAAAAAAAAGAAGAAGAAGCAAACATTACAAGGCACTGTGTGTTGTGGCTTAAGAGGAAAGTGCGTTCCATCTGCTTCCTTAGCCAGACACGTTTGCTTGCAGAATACAGCTTGGCTGCCATTATTGATGTGACATCAAGGTACAGCCCGGTACGGTATGCTTCACCATCTGATTCCAAGATAAAGGCAGTTGGCAGCATTAACTGTCTGTGGCGCACATTTCCGAGTTATACAATTCCCAGCCAGGCACTAAGTGGAAAGGTTGAAAATTATGGGTGGGAGGCAACTGATAACAAATCAGGCTGGAGAAGTATGTTGGGCTGTCTTGTTCCAAAATCTGGACATGTCCACCTGCTGTGTTTTCTGCATCTTACTAAGCAAGGGCCAAAATGTTCACAGTAGGCTCACACTGACTGGAATGTGTGGGGCTATTTTGGAGCAGAACAGTATGTGTGATTTTCATGTTCGTATACCAAGCTCAATAACTGAGTGCGTGCTTTGCAAGCCAGGTTGAATCCTTGTACTCTTCAGTTTAAAAGTAGCAAGGCTGCAGAAGGTCTCCCACCTGAGCCCTTGACAAACTGGTCTGTGTACTCAGGTCATGTTCCAAGTGGGTCAGTCCTTTGAAGTAGCCAGCCCTCATGACATTTGGGGCTTCAAATCAGGGGTGGGAAACAGCTGTATCTCCCCAATTCCCATCAGCTCCACCCAGCAGGGTCAGTGGTCAGCGATTATAGAAGTTGTAGTGCAGAAACATGTGGAGTGACGCATGTTCCCCACAGGTTCAGAGGTTAAGACCAACAGGCTATGCTCAGAAGTGAACTGGGAAACATTCTAGTTCTTCCAACCATGGTGCAATATGTTTCATCTTCCCTACATTCCAGTCTTCAGGCTTGACAGCATCTAGTTTTGAGTTAGCTTCAGTTTCTTCAAAGGTAGTCCTCACATAGGCAAGATATGTGGGGCACACTAGCATTATCTGGCGGTAGGCAGTGTGGTCTGCTCCACAACGGACGGATGAGGCTCTCTGCCCTACCAAACCGAGGCGTGGCTCTATATGAAACCAGTGAAGCTTAAAATTCAGGGCCCCTCATCCCGGAGGAGCCCAAGAAGTGATTTTAGTCCACATGATTTAACCATGCTGGGTCTAGAAGACCCAATTTGAGTCACACAACTCAATTTGATTCATTTTTGTTGCTGTTGTACATAGCTCAACAATCTCAAAGTTTGAGAATCAATAGCACAGATGTTACAAAGGTGGGCTGTCATGGTAGAAGAAGAAGAAGAAGAAGAGTTTGGATTTGATATCCCGCCTTTCACTCCCTTTAAGGAGTCTCAAAGCGGCTAACATTCTCCTTTCCCTTCCTCCCCCACAACAAACACTCTGTGGGGTGAGTGGGGCTGAGAGACTTCAAAGAAGTGTGACTGGCCCAAGGTCACCCAGCAGCTGCATGTGGAGGAGCGGAGACGCGAACCCGGTTACCCAGATTAGGAGTCTACCGCTCTTAACCACTACACCACACTGGCTCTCAAAAACACTGGTAACTCAAAAACTATCAGGTATAGGGAATTTTCATTCACACCGGGGGCTTTGACATGTGAGATAATCCAGTGCAGCAATTTTAATCAAAATCTGAGATGTAGTAATTATTTATTATTATTATTATTATTATTATTATTATTATTATTATTACAGTGGTACCTCTGGTTACGTACTTAATTCGTTCCGGAGGTCCGTTCTTAACCTGAAACTATTCTTAACCTGAAGCACCACTTTAGCTAATGGGGCCTCTCACTGCCGCTGTGCCGCCGCACGATTTCTGTTCTCATCCTGAAGCAAAGTTCTTAACCCGAGGTACTATTTCTGGGTTATCGGAGTCTGCAACCTGAAGCATATGTAACCTGAAGCATATGTAACCCGAGGTACCACATTATTATTATTATTATTATTATTATTATTATTATTATGTGATCTATCATGGAACAACCCCGCTGAAGAATTGCCCAGACCTTGTTGCTGATTGAGAAGAGGCCCCAAAACAGTTCAAGCTTCAGGGCACCCATAATATAGGTCCCACCACTGACCAAACTTCTGTCTCAGCCAGCCCCTGCCTGCCTTCTAACAACCATTCCATGAGGTGGTAATGTCTGTCACATTCCTACTCCTTTGTCTTAGTGTTGCCTGTTGTGGAACTGAGAAGGAAAGAGGAACAGGACATCTTTCTGCTTGTCATTCTAGCTCCAGCAAGTGTTGACCTCCCTGCCTTCAACCCCAGCAGTCTCAAATGGGCACCAACTGCTATATTAATTGTGTTTTATGCCACAGAGGCCACTTGAGCCACCAGGGAACATAATAAATACCCTCCCCCCACAGACTTTGAACCTTAAAGCTGGAAGCAGAGAGGCTGAAAACATCTATCATCCAGATTCACTCACCAAGGAGTGAATTAGCTGCAACTCTCTGTCAAGCGAACATTCAGTCACAATCCTGGCTTTGCTGCTGTGTAATTTGGAATAGGCTTTATTGTTGTAAAACCAGAGCAACAGTTTTGATGGCTGCATGGCATGCCGTGCCAGAATCAAGACAAAGAGAAGGCCTTTCTCACCTGCTCGTTCCAATAATGCATCCCATCGAAAAGAAAGCAAAAACAAAAAGCCAAACAAAGTAGCTCCTTCAAGCTTAAAAGAGGAGCGAGGTGATGCTGAATTTTGACATGCTGCGTTTTCTTAATTAAGGATTTGCTGCACAATCTCCGTACATAAATACCAAACGTGTATTTATCTCCCCGGGGCAGGAGAGGAAATTGGATGTACCCAGGAACTTTCTGTGGCTGATCTGCAAGCCGCAAACAGTGTTTTGTGAAGGTCGGAGACGCCAGCTTTCAAGGCGACTCGGTGAAATACCACACAAAACGTTTCACGGCACCGATATATCATCCAACACGAGGCTGTTCCATAAGGGG